CTGTGGCTGTTAGGGGCCCAAGCCTCCGAGCACAGGTCGGACCTACCCCAGGCACGCGGTGATCACGTCCCCCCTCTGAGGGACTGTAGCGTTTGGGGCCTTTGCATGAATCAGTAAGAAATTCTAACCAGACGAAGGGGCAGGCGCTCTTTGCGAAAATCTCAGGATTAAGATGCCGTGTTTTCTGTTTCACGGTAGACGAGGTTGAGGGGAAAACCGGAGATCTGGTACGTGAAGAGAATTTGCCAACAGCGCAGCCTGGCCTGCAAAGGTGGGGTGAGGGGCCTCGTCTCAGAATAGCTCCGTAGGAATCCTGGACGCCCTGCCTCCCCTCTCTCGTTAACAGTGGAGGGGTGTGTAGGGTAGAACGTGTGCTGCATCCCTCCTAATGCGGAGTCCCACAGTTGGGGGCGGGAGGCCCCGCTTCTGCTGTGCCTGTTGTCCGAGAGCGGCTGGCGCCGGCCCAGGGTGCGGGTGCGATGCAGCAGGAGGCGTGTGCGGGACCCTCACCTGCTGCTCGAAGCATCTCCCCGGCAGAGGCATCTGTAGCAGCCGGGGGCCGGGTGGCTCATGACTTAGCGCAGCTAATTATCTTAGGACGTAATTGCACCGCCCGACTCCTGAGAGATTCCAGCCTAGACGGGGCTGGGCTGGCCGTCCGGCTCTGGCCACTCGCTGCCGGTGTCACAGAGACGCAGCGTGTCGGCCCGTGGGAACCTGAGGGGGTCTGTGGGGGCCGGCCCCTGCGCTGCGGGCTGCCTCCATAGGTGACGGTGAAATGGGCGACTCAGGGAAGTCCCTGGGGAAGTTTAAAGTTGAACTGTGTCACGTGGTGTAGACACGCTTCCCCCAAGACGGACCTGCAGTGGGCGGTGGGAGGAGTCCCGTGAGGGTGAGCTCTGCAGAGCATGGCTGTGCTGGTCGCCGAGCCCCTCGGGCGCCTGCTGTGTGCCAGGCCGCCGGGGGTGCCTGGGCACAAAAGAACTGACCCCCACCCTTGCTGGCGTGGCGCAGCTGGTCGGGCGTTGACCTGTGCACTGAAAGGTCACTAGTTTGATCCCAGTCAGGGCACATGCCCGGGCTGTGGGCTCGATCCCCAGCATGGGGCCTGCAGAAGCAGCCAATCCATGTTTCTCTCTCATCGATGTTTTTCTCAAATCACTTAAAAAAACCCCAACCAATTAAAAATATATATTTAATATTTAAAAGAACTGATCCTCAGAGTAATCCTGAGGGGGAAGCAGTCTCCTCAGCCCCACTTTACACACGGGGAAACCAAGGCACACAGCGGGCCCGTCCCTTGCCCAGGACCTCGCAGTCGTAATGGTGGAGCTGGGGTTCACACCCAGGCGTCGCCCGCTGTTAGGATGTGGCCGATGCCCCCTCCTTGCTGCAGCTCACGTGGGCTGGCGTCCTGTACCCCCGTCTGGTGAACCTCCCTCAAGAGCTCGCTCACCCACCCTCCCAGACGGGACCGTCCCTCTTCCGTGGTTTTCCCTCCAGTGAGTAGCGTGTGTCCCTGTTCTCACGGACACCACCGAGGACCACGGGGAGGTGCCACCGTTTCCGGAAAGGGGGTGCCCTTGAGTAACGAAATGGGACGTGACAGACACGTGGCCCTGGAGTGGCCGTGCTCCGGCCGGGGCAGTTTAGGAGCCGTTACTGCAGGCTGGGGACTGCGCCTGCGCGTCTGCAGGGAATGCTCAGCGCAGCCCGGGAGGGGGCGTCGCAGCCAGTGTTTCCCATTGAGGCCGACGTTGTCACTTCTCTGATTTTGTGCAGCGCAGGCCGGGTTCCCTCAGCTAATGAAGATGCTCAGGTTTTCCCAGTCGCTGACTCTGGAGTTTGGGGCACCCACCGGAGGGCAGGGGAGGGCTGGGGGAAGGGCAGACACTTTTGTATAGAGAAGGAGTTTCCAGACTCGGGCAGGTGCCGTGGTGGGAGCGCTGAGGACACGCGTGTCTTCCTGTGGCGGCTTCCACAGTTCTCATCTGCGGGCGCCGGCTCCCAAGGCGTCGCTTTTCGGGTTGGCGAGCTGCGTTCCTGGGGCAGCTGGAAGGCAGGGGTCTTGTCCGCCCGGTGGGCCCTGCCGTAGGTCAGTGAGTGCCTGCTTCAGTGGGTCTGACTGTGTCTCGCTGGGCTGTGGTATCGGTGGCTGCGTGGACGCCAGCGGAAGCCCCGACCTGGTTGGGAGCACGCGGTCTCCCTGCGATCGAGACGCACAGCCCGGTCAGGACGTGGAACGTTTTCACTTCCATGTCAGAAGATCCTAGAAAACCCAAGTCACTTTCAGACTGAACCAACCAGACCGAGGATGAAGGTTTAAAAAAGAGCAGAAACCAGAGACAGACTGAATTTAGAGAGACGAGGTTGTTTTTGAACTTTGAACCCCTACATTGTAAGTTATTCCAAGATTCCTCCAATTCGCTGGAATAATATTCCTTCTGGACTCTGCAGAAAGTGACTGGGCCTCCCCGCCTGACACACCTGAGACCAGGAGGGGTTTGGAGAGAGAGACTCAGCTGAATGGGCCCCTCCGAGCAGGGGCGGCCTGTCCACGGGGCAGCCACAGCCCAGGGCCCTGCTGCCGGTTCCTCCTGCTCCCTGAGTCAGAGGTCACCTGACAGATGACGGCCTCGGCCTTGACTTCACTTTTCTGACGTCTTAAGGAAACAAACCAGTGATTCC